GGGACGTGATTAATGAATAAGAGTAAATAATTTTGTCAAGGGTAAAATTATGCACATAATTTATTTTCATTGAAAAGAATGGCAATTTGCAAATTACAGAAACAAAATAGAAGTGCTGATTAAAAGGATTATATAAAAGCTACGAAGTAATAGTAATGTATTCCGTTCTAATGTGCAAATGGAAAGAAATATAGCTGAAAAGACAGCTGTAATAAAAAAATCATTGTGTTTCATTTCAATTTGTTACCTTGAAAAAAAAATGCACAACTTTAAAATGTTTAATAATTTACATTATACCACAAGCACACTTTCAGAACAGTATGCATTTGCTTTTCTTCTAATTTCTTTAAAGATCATGTTATTTGAATATTTTACTTTGCTGAAACATTCAGCTTGCTTTATCATAATGCGTTTTCTAAGTGAGGTACACTATGTCAAATATTTAAATTAACATATATTAATGCAGCAGTACAACTACTGACTTGAGAGAGATTATACTATATAGAAAGTGATGCTACAGACAGTAGTTTCATACATTATTTAATTATTATTCTTTTATTTTATATCTTAATTTCTTGCTTTCTCACATGGAGTTTTTTTTCCTGTTTGCAAAATCAGAAACAATTTCAGATTTCTGCTGTGATCTCATTATTAAGAAAAAAAATTATCTTTTTCAGTTTTCCAGTTTGAAGTGACTCATATTTCTTAACAAAACTGTTGGTGGACATTGCTTTGGAATATTCGTTTTCCCCAGCAGAGAAAATTCTAACTGTAATTCTTTCTGCATAGCATAGGGGAATTGTTTCAAACATCATGTATCATCAGTACCAAAGACTGATGCTCAGTGATGTTCACTCCCTACCTCTGAAATATGGAGCTGCATGTTTATGACATGGAGGAGGCTTCATTTTTTCTAAAGTGCTGAGGTTTTATGTAATTATACCAACAGTCCCACACAGAGCACAGACAAGTCAATACACATAGGAAATATATTAAATGAAAACTCATACAAAATAATTTTCAAATGCATGGAATACAAATAAAAATTCTATGTAAACAAGACTATGGATCCAAATATTATCTGCACATATAAAATACGACTTAGTCTGGTACCTTAATTCATGCAGACCAGTATCTTATTACAAGAACATTTCAATTAACATCAGAATTGCAGATTAGATTTGTACTAAGCTTACTAAAACATAATATTATCACATTAATTTTTTGTCCATTTAGGTGACTAAAAGAAATATGTTTCACCACCATGTTTAAACATGGTTGTTTTGTAGAATAAGCAAGGCCTAAAGAATATTGACTTTAAGCTAATTAGAATTTGATTTAATGGATTTAGAAGGCTTCAAATTAATCCTTTAAGCAAGGGTAAGGGTCCTTGCAAGAGTCTTACTTATATAGGGCTTTGTAAGCATCATAGAGAATACAAGAAGTACCTTCAGATATCTGTCATACTCAAACCTATAGCATCCGTATGGAGTTTTTGCTACATGTAACAAGCAAATCTACTGGAAAAGCAATGGAGAATCACATAGTGTGAAAAGTGAAAGTACTGCTTGATTGAATAGATTTGTTTCCTTTTTTTTAAAACCAAAGTTTATATGATCCTGTCAGATATAGATTGTAAATGATCCATCTTTGTTTTAAGGTGTTACATATTTCAATAAACTGCTTGCAATGTTAATTTTTTATTATTTTTTTACAATATAGCAACTAGAATACTAAATTTAAGTATCCATACTGTATATGTGCCATTCTAGTCATAATAAATAAATCTTTCTCACTATTGCTGGCTGTAAGAATGAGGTGAGACTCTTGTGTCCTTTTCAAAGCATTTTTGCTAATAAAATTCATCAATATATCTGATCAAGTCTTTCACAGTCACTTTACATCCTGCAGCTTATTTATTTGGACAATTTCTGGTTTGACATTCAGCCTCCAAAACAAATTAAGCAAAGATGCAGAAGGCCAGTAAAAAATACAGATCTGTTTGGCCTTCTTTTAAAAAAAATATATATATACCGGGATGCAAGGCAAAAGAACTAAATAAAGCCTGGCAATAGGTGCTGCAAAAATTATCCTGTTGAATTGTATGTAATACCAGTGCAGAGAACTCTGACAATAGTTTATATTGAAAAGCCCCTGAATATACAGTGATTATCCTAATTTGTTCCAAAGTGTGATAATTAAAATTAGAATTATGGGGTTTGTCAGGTTGGGGTTTTTTTTCAGTAAAACAGGCAAGGACATTTTTATTACAAGTTCTTTTTTTTTTCTTGCCTGTGATAAAATTATACCATCTCTAAAACATAAAAGAGTACTGCTTTATTTTCAGAAATGCAGAGAAAACCCTTGGGATAACTTACTGTGGCCACCACAGCTCAGCCACAGTCCTGTACCACACAGCCTTGGGAATCTGCTCAGTAGTTCTCAGCAGCCCCACTCTCTCTTAAGGAAAACTTTGAATCTGGCTAATTAATCTCATGGCTGTTTGTTAAAGTTTATTTTTTTCAGAAACAAAACTGCTCCTAAAAGGTTAGTTGGGAGGAAAGTAATCTAATTTATAGTTATTGATCACTCCAGCAAAATCTTTCTGGTCTTGTAAAGCCAAGCAGGGGCATAAATTGGGAGGGAAGATGAATTTAATGCCTGTGTTTATTTGAGGTAATATATTCCTATACACAAATGTTTTTAGTCTTAAGTCTCATTCTAGCTACCATTATAAATATTTATGTGAGTGCTGCCAGTGAATGCAGTGTGATTTCAAATGTGTATATATATAATAGTACCTGAGTGTAAAATGGGTCTTAATCCTGAAAAGAGCTGGGTATGAGACTTGATTCTGTGTGATGTAAGTGACTCCATTGTTATGATGAAACTACTCATGCAGTATATGTCAATGCAAATCTTTGCCAGAGTAGTGCCCAAGTTGCCAGAACCACAAAATATTACATGGAAAGTCAATCAAATATGCAATCTGAAAAAAAACCCAAAACCAAACCCAAACCTCATCAGGTTCTTTAATACATCTTTTCTAATACTCTCTTTTTTTTCAGTAAATATAGATAATTCTTTAAACAGGACTAATGAAGATAGCTTCTTTTCCAACACAGGCCTTTCCTAATTTTAGATATTGTCTATCAGACCCAAGAAAACAAATATCTCTTGGATATCTGTGTTCTTATTGATCTGGATAGTGATTCATAATTGCTGTGGGAAAAAGTAACGTCCAGTGGTGCTTCAGAAACTAAATACGATTTTCATTAATCTGAAAAATCAACATGCTATTTTTTTCTCAAATCCAATGGGTTCACTACATATTTTGAAGTTTAGTGTTCAGTTAAAGTGTACTTTCTCCTTTTTTCAGTGCCTTTGCAGCATTGCAAAAGAGGAGCAAGTAAGCAGCTGCCCTTTCTCTTGTCAGTGGAGATGTACCTGCTGTAGTGATAAACTTTCTGTGGAGTCTTCTTTCAGTCATCCCACAGTCTCTCATCCATCAGTAGGTTTCTGCCTGTGCCACTGGTCACCTCATTCAAAGGGCTGATTGAGAGACATGAGAAAAAAATTATGGCTTTGGTTTCTAAGTTGTTTAGTTGTGTTTTCTTTCTAGTGAAGTAAAGCAACAGAAGTCAGCCACTCTGTATGGAACTGAGAGACATATGCGAATGTGAATTTAGGAAAACAGTGGTTATTCCTGAAGGAAAAAAAATAAATAAATAAAAAGGAAAAAAAAGGAGCCTGTTTTCTTTCTCACCAGGAAGCTATGGGTGTTGACTGGGCTCTTACCTGTAAGAGTTTGTCTCTTACTGACATGCCACCATATGGTGCAGACAGGCTATCCCCTGTGCTTCCTGCTCCCACTCCAGGCATTGCCTACCCCCAGGCTGTGGTGATTTCCAGCTATGATAAGGCTCTGGCTGCACTGCTGGAACGTGGCAGATGCCTCTTCAGGCTGCTTTGTCATAGCAGTATCTGGACAACCGTACTTAATCTGTATGCCAAGTTATAGGTGCTTTAGAAATGGGAATACACTGGTCAAATTAGTTTAATTGGCTTCCTTAGTGACTGGAAGACAGACATTTATTTTATATGTGAAATTAGCTGACCACCTATAGCAATATTTTTTGTGAGTGCATTTTTTTCCTTAAAATGCAGAATAAGGAATGATTTAAAATCTGTTACTGTAAGATCAATATATGTATTTTTCCTTGTATAAGTGCCAAACCCTGCTCCACGAAAAAAAAGCAAACCAAACCAAAAAAAAGAAAAAACCAAACCAAACCAAACCAAACCAAGGCAAAGCCAGAGGACTGCTTTGAAGGGGTGCCCAGGCATGAGGAAGTGCAGAAGCTGCAGGTGTGCTCCAGGTGAGGGCGTCTGCTGGCGTCAGGCCAACACTCTTCCTGTCAGGAACTGAAACCTGCACAAACCAGGAAACAAAAAGAAATATTCGAGCAGTCCACGTCGGAGACTGGTAAGGAAACAAGCAGGTCAGCTTGGTTAATCATTACTAAAACTTTACAGAGGTTCACTGCTGATCATATGACAGGACCTCATTTGAGATAAGAAAACACCTATCCCAAGCAGTAAGAGTTGAGAAGCCTTCCCTGCTTGGACATTCTGTCTTTGTTGTTTTGCTGTGGGAGAAGAGGCTCCACACTCCCCAGTTGCTCCCAGAGCACAGCACTGCTGTTGTGTTGCTTTCCTGTTCTGAAGAGGAAGTGAGAAATTCCCTCCACATGTGCTCTGGCACTTGGATACTCAGGTTTCACTCTCGATCCAGGAACTGTCTGTAATGAGTGCTCAGTGAAGCTCAGAGAGGAGCTTCCAACTATGCCAAGAGTTGTTTCATTATGTGCCAGAGAAGGAGGGGGAGAAAAAATCCTGCAAAAAGCTAAAATGTCGATGGTGCAAAAATTGGTCTAAGAGTATCACAACTGAGAAAAGTGAAAGAAAAGCAGAAGCAGAAGAAGGCACAAGGAAACATGATGAGCAATTTCTGCCAGAAGTATTGTGCCTGTTTGGAGCCTTACATCCCCTGCTTATTCTCAGGGAGTGTTGGTGAGCAAGATGATAAATTTGACCATGTCTTCTCCAACCCTGCTGTGGTCAAGCCTGGCTTCCAAGAAGAACAGAAAGACAGAGACTGTAAGAAAAGACAGAAACCTTTACCTCCACTGCCTGGTCAGCATCTGGTGAATATTTGCAGATTTGTAGCACTCTTTGACTATGAGGCTCGCACTGAAGAGGACTTGAGCTTCCAAGCTGGAGATAAGCTTGAAGTGCTGGATGCATCCCATGAAGGCTGGTGGTATGCTAGGCTCGTCCTGCCAGCAGGGTCAGTCTGTCCTGGCCGCAAGCTCCACGGCTACGTCCCTGCCAACTACATAGCTGCTGACCAGACCATCGAAGCTGAGCCGTGAGTAACCCACATAGCACACAGTGCTGTCTCTTTTCTGCTGGGTTAAAAGGGGTTGAGGCAGGAGGCTATGGCCTTTTCTCTTGATAAGCAGTCCCCACTCAACCTCCAGTGGTCCTACTCATGACAGTGCTACTGGATATGTGCAGGGAAAAGGCACCACAGTCACAAGAAAATCAATCACTAAAGGTAGAGTGTTGAGAGTTTTGTTTCAGTTTAAATAATTTCCTTCTCTGGTGTACCCTAGTCATCTGTTTAAGAAGCATCTCGTAATATCAGGTTGGTTACAACTGTGATGGTTCGTTATATTTTTTGTATAACAGCGTTTGTCAGATGCTTCCCAGAAAGTGAAAGGCCCCTGCCCCAAACAGTGTTCTGCCTAATCAACTTCCAAGTTATCAATTAATCAGAATACTCTAAGTTATTTGTTTCTTCTCTGGAGGCAAACCTCTACTCTCAGGACAAACTTAACCAGAGTAAGTACCGCAAAGGGCAGAAGAGTGGATATAGCAATAGAATACAAATTGAATTTGTTAAACTTTCACAGAGTTTAGCTATGCAGCCCATGTTTTTCTGCCCTTTCAAAATGTGTCCAATTTAATATTCAGAACTAGAGCAGAAAGCACACAAAATCAGTTACTTGGCTCCCTAGTGAGAATGAGTAAGTTCTGAGTCAGCCTGGGAGGCAGTTACTTACATGTGTTGAAATCAGAGGCAGAGTTTGCTAAAATAGGTCTGACTGTAGTTCCAGAGTTATGTTTTGGCAAATCTGTTAAGTGTGAAAAGAGACAGCAGAAATGGCACTTGTTACTAGTATCTGGATTAATTTTTACTTTAGAGGGATGATGTTGCAGCTTTTCAGTTAAATCTCATTTGAACCTGAAACATCATCTCTGATTTGATCTCCCCACCAGACTGCCAAAGACTAGGAAAATTGGCTCGGCTGTGATTATGCCAGTCTTTTATCAGCTGTAGGATTTGTGCTGGAGGCATCTTAGGACAACTGTAAGATTCCTTTCTAACCTGAAGACCTTAATTTCCAGAGTCTGACCAGCTGTTTCTATTTCTGTATTCTGTCAGACAACCCTTTCAATGGTCATGTTCAAAAGAATTCTTCCAAGTGCTGAAATTAATCTGAAGGGAAGGCATTTTCTGAACCACTAGAGGAATGACGATAGGCTCTAATTCAGCTCATCTTGGCCTTTGCTCTCTTTCAAGAACTAGCTTTATTACAAGTCATCTAAAATTTCTGCTTGCTGTTAATACTTTGAAAGTAATTTTGCTCAGTTATAAAACAAAGTCTCAGCTCTTAAGGCCCCTCTTATCTTTCTTTGCTACAGCATCAAATATAGAGTTAACTTTGCCAAAACACCATTTTTGCATAACATCTGCTTTTTGTTGTTATAGAATCTATTGTATTTTAATTTTCTCTTTTTATATACCTTTCTCTCTTTATTACTAAAGATATGTTTTTACAAGATATTTTTTTAACAGATTGTAAACAGAAGATGAAATGGAGAGCTTTTACAGATCAAATTAAGTTATTCCTTCAAAATGTTTGACAAGCTTTTAGTTTTGTACCAACACTAATCTTTCTAAACATGTTGTCTTACCTCAGATTTCCTCTTAAGTCAGTTGGTTTTAATGACCTTCAACAAAAATAAGTATTCAAGACTGACTGATGTCAGGCCCACACAGATATCCTTTCGTATAACTGTAGACTAGCTCAGGCTAGAAAAGACCTCTCTAGGACATTTGAACCATGTATCCCAACTCGAAAATTACCAAAATAAAGTTACACACATTTGCTTAGTGCCTTTTCCCACTAGGTTTTTCACCGGCATTGTGAGGATTTTTTTCCCTTGTATCCAATTGGGATATTCCTTGCTGTGATTTCCTGCAAGACTTCCCTTTCACTCACCTTCTACATTTCACACCACTGTTATCTAACTGAAACAAGAAAAGCAACAGTAATGGTGGTGTTTTAAAGAACTGAACCTTGTTTTTTCCCTGAAGTAAAAGAATGAAGGCGAAGAAAATTGTTTTAATGTCTCTTTAATTAAAATTCAGTGCTCTATTAATATTCTCTGCCTGAACTTTGACTTATTTCATCTTTCCATTTTTATTTTAATTAGCTGTCTCGTTTGATGCTGGCCATGGCCATAATATAGACATTTGTGGAAACAGGAAACTTTTATTGCATCCTTCCATTCTTCGTACCTTCCATTCTTCCTTTATGGCTCCATCACAAAACTGAAAAAGAAAGGAAGATTTCCAATCTCTATCATATGTTCACCTTCAAAAATGCATATATTCAATATATTTTCAATATGTTGTTTATGCTTTGCCAGGCACAACTGATTAACAGTCTTTGAGCTAGTTGAAGGCACATTCCATAGCACCAGCTGGCTTCTCTATGTCTGCAGAGACAATGGGAATTTTAGCTTATTTCTGGACTCTATCTCCATCTTATTAGAGCAAGACAAACTCTCTAAACTGTACTGGGAAACAGACTTAAATCACAGCATGACTCTTGTGAAGCTTGGGAAGAAAACCAACTTGGCCATAGCAGCTGATTTCAGTGTGATTGTATATAAACTTTTTTTAAAAAATTGACCTTCATATGCATGCATGGATACTTAATAACTTAACTTCAATAAAGGGATAAAGTGGCATGACATATTTTAATGTCATGGGATGACTTAGAGATGACAGGGTCACTATGTGAGTTTACCCAATATATGCTTGAAAGCTGCATGCAGGGCAGTCAAATTAATTTTGCTAAGAATTTCAGTTTTGCCTGGAGCCTTCAAGACTACTAACAACAAAATATATCTGGGCCTTTTTTAATCAACATTTTTACATGACCTGTATAACAGAGCCAGTTATAGATCAGTAAGTCATCTAGATGTGGGCTGCCTATTCTTTCAGATGACAATGCTGGGTAATTGCTTGTTCTCTGGAAGTGCTGCAGCAGACCATTTTGTTCCCTCATTTAAGAATGTGAATTTTTTCTGGGAGAAAGGCTTTTTTTAAAAAAAAAATAAAAAATTCCATGGTAAGAAATAGAATAAAGTAAAGCAGGAAGAAAAGTGAGAAACTTTTCTTCCTTGTCCTTATTTAGAGAAGTTTTTCTTTGTGGAAGTCTCTTTGACTCCATACAATATGACTGAAGTAGCGCTGATAAGGTGGATCAATAACTGCATGGAAGGGCAGAAAGGATTTGCAATATCACCTCAGATGGAAAACAAAATGTAAATACTATTTATAACAACGGGAATTTCTGTGTATCCCTTGCTGTCAGAATGTTCAAGCAGAACTGAGAAAGAATGAGATTTCTTTACTGTGTCGCTTTCCTCAGACCAAATTTTATTGGTAGAAATTGTATGCTAAAATTGAAAGGAGACTTTGTTTGTATAATACATTTTGCCAATATATTTATATTCTATTATATAATGTAACTAACTTACACCAAAAGTCAAACACTTCCTATTTGCCCACAATATCTCGAATAAAGTTTCTCTTGCTTCCTTCCATTGACTTGAATGATCCCTTCCAGTCTGAATGACTTGGATGAAATCAGTAACATTCAGTATGAACAGAAGAACGAGGGGAAAAAAAAAAGAAAGTAAAAAAAAAAAAAAAAGTAAAAAAGTGGAAGCATTTGTCTAGCAAACTGTATTTGCACAGTGAACTTTCACTTCATGAGGAATTAAATCTGCAACTACAAAAACATTACTTTTCTTAATATCTGATGAACAGCAGACACAGACTATGCTAATGAGAAATTAACAATTGTAACAACACTTGGTTCTTTTCTTCTCTCTGCATTGCAGGTAGCCATCAAAATCACAAGCCAGACAGATTTTTCATTTCTGAGCAAGTCTGAGTGAGATTGTATCTGCCACATACCATGACTTTGGAATGCACTTCTTTCTGGGTTTAGATATGCAAAATTTAGAAAAAGAGAGATGCAGTCACATGGAAACGCAGTCACATAATTTACCTTGCAAAGGGTGATTAGAAAGAGCAATTTGACCATCACCAAAATCTGGATTAAAATATATCAATTTCCTTGGCAAGGAGTGTGACCTTACTGTCTCTGTGATCTTTCTGTGCCTGTTATTCTGCACTATAAACAGGTACCATAGTAACACATCCACCTGCCCTTATTTTATAACTGCCAGTTGTTTTAACTAAACAAGAAAGTGACATAGTGCCAATTGTTATGGACAACAAATATGCCCAGCTGTACAGCTAATTTTAATGAAGCAAAACCCCCCAAAACAAGCCACTGCTGGAATGACACAAATTCTTTTATTCTCGAGGAAGGTTGAAGTGTATTTGGAGGGAGCTCTTTCCTCTCATCCTAATGAACATGTTGTCTGTTTATTGAAAGCCAGTTTCATTCTGTATGTTCATCACCACATGAATGACACAAGACTGCTGTGCTGATGGAAGTAAAGTCATGCAAATTCCTAGCAGTTTAGGTCAAAGAAGATCACAGCAATTACTTTTAACTTTTGCCAGTTTCCGAAACATTCCTTGTTTCAGTTTGCTTAGGTAGGTGGTTCCCAGCTGGTAGAAACCAGGCCCAAGACCTAATCAATGAAACTTCACCAGTCAATTCCACAATGAGCTTCTTAAACCAGCCTTTGAAAGCAAAAGTGACTTGTAGGTTATTTTTTTGTCAATCTCTGTAATTCCTTAACCTTCTGTGACCTGACTCAGCTTTAGCTATTTCATACACTGACTGAATCTGAGTTACTACACATGAACAGTAAAGCATTCCCTGGGGTGACTTGTTTCAGATTTTCTGCAAAGTCAGGCTTGTGGGGTTTTCTCTGGTTCCTATGGGTCATTTTTCAAAGTGGAATTTAGAGCCAAAATGTCTAGAGGCTCTTTTTAAAGTGAAACCTTAGATTCTGCTGAATACCTCAGAAAACTGAATGTAATCCACTGTGGTTTCTGAGCTCTCCCTCTCTCTCTCCTATTTCTTC